AAAAAAAAAAAAAAAAAAAAAACTCTCTTCCTCCCAGTTCATCTGCATCTTGTTATTAAGCCATGAGAAATAGCAGCCTGATCCTCAGTTTGGTCCGGGGACAATTAGTTGCCGTAGGAGGTTATTGTAAACATTATAAGAATTAAATGAATTAATATATGTATACTGTTTAGAAAAGGACCTGGGGCAAAATTAGCACCATTGTAAGTACTATTATTTTTAAATATTTTACAAATGAGTCATCATTAATTTTAACAGTTGTACCCTTTAGCTTCTAATGGGTTATCATCAGCAGTAAGTTTATCGGCATTGCAAAAGGACAGTTAGAAGTTTCTCCAATGTGAAAATGTGGCCCTAAAAGTAGAAGGAGGCCTATGAGAATATAATACAGCCTTTTAGAACCAGATTCTTTAAACTATTCTCAATGAAGGTAAATGTAAGTGAAAAGAATCTGGAAATAAAAATACCAGGGTTGGCTGGGTGCAGTGGCTCACGCCTGTAATCCCAGCACTTTGGGAGACCGAGGTGGGTGGATCACCTGAGGTTAGGAAACCTTGTGAAACCCTGTCTTTACTAAAAATTAGCTGGGCGTGGTGGTGGGCATATATAATCCCAGCTACTTGGGAGGCTGAGGCAGGAGAATTGTTAGAACTCAGGAGTCAGAGGTTACAGTGAGCCAAGATCGCACCATTGCACTCCAGCCTGGGCGACAGAGAGTGACTCTGTCAAAAAAAAAAAAAAAAAATCAAGGTCCAGGCCAGGCATGGTGGCTCACATCTGTAATCCCAGCACTTTGGGAGGCTGAGGCGGGTGGATCATGAGGTCAAGAGATCGAGACCATCCTGGCCATCTCTACTAAAAATACAAAAATTATCTGGGCATGGTGGTGCAGGCCTGTAGTCCCAGCTACTTGGGAGACTGAGGCAGGAGAATCTCTTGAACCTAGGAGATGGAGATTGGAGTGAGCCGAGATCGCACAACTGCACTCCAGCTTGGCGACAGATTAAGACTCCACCTCAAAAAAAACAAAAAACAAAACTCTTTTCCCAGGGAATAGATTAGTTAGAAAAATATGTTTGCATTGAAGTAGGGTAGTTCTGATCCCAGCTGGCTCCATCACAGAAGCAGTGGTTTGGATATTCCATCTAGGGTGGGCTCTGTGAAATGAAAATTATTATTATTATTTTTATATCTTTTTAATTTTTTTTTTTTTAAGACAGGGTTTCACCATGATGGCCAGGCTGGTCTTGAACTCCTGACCTCAGGTGATCCACCCACCTCGGCCTCCCAAAGTGCCAGGATTACAGGCGTGAGCCACTGCACCTGGCAGGAATGAAAATTATTGAAAAAATGTAATATGGAGATTTCCACTTGATAGCTGCTACTTTGAGTTCTGAAAGCCTCTTAATAGGCAGTGAAATATAGGAAATTAAGGGCTAATTGGGTGTACTGCCTTGGCTGAGACCCATGCCTCTGTATTAAATGTTTCCTAGTATGTCAGCTACTGCTATTCAAAAAATAGTAGTTAATTAATCATCTGTTAAGACTTTACTAGTTTAAGCAGGCATGGTAGCCCACACCTGTAGTCCCAGGTACTCAGGATGCTGAAGCGAGAGGGTGCTTGAGGCTAAGAATCTGAGGCTGTAGTGGGCTATGATCAAGCCATTGTACTCAAACCTGAGCAAGAGTGTGATACCATCTCAAAAACAAACAAACAAACAAACAAACAAACTTTACTAGTCATAAGAAAGAGGAACAAAGTGGCCAGGTGAGATGGCTCATGCCTATAACCACAGCACTGTGGGAGGCCAAGGTGGGCAGATCGCCTGAGGTCAGGAGTTGGAGACCAGCTTGGCCAACATGGTGAAACTCCATCTCTACTAAAAATACAAAAAAATTAGCTGGGAGTGGTGGTAAGTGCCTATAATCTCAGCTCCTCAGGAGGCTGAGGCAGGAAAATCGCTTGAACCTGGGAGGTGGAGACTGCAGTGAGTCAAGATCATGCCATTGCACTCCAACCTGGGCAACAAGAGTGAGACTCCGTCTCAAAAAAAAGAAAAAGGAAAAGAAAATAAGCATTGGCTAGGTTGTGGAGAAATTAGAACCCTTGTGCACTGTTGGTTGGAATGTAAAATGGTGCAGATGCTAAGGAAATCAGTATGGTGGTTCTTCAAAAAATTAACAAACAGAATTACCATATGATCCAGCAATCCCACTTCTGAGTATATGTCTGAAAGAACTGACATCAGGATATGGAAGAGATATCTGCACTTCCATGTTCACTATAGCCAAGATATGGAAACAACCTAAATGTCCATTGACAGATGAATGGATAAAGACAATGTGGTACATGAATACAACAGAATATTATTCAGCCTTAAAAAAGAAAGAAATCCTGCTATATGTTTCAACAGGGGTGAACCTGGAGGACTCTATGCTAAGTGAAACAAGTCAGAAGCAGAAGGACAAATATTCATGATGCAACTTATATCAGGAATCTAAAATAGTCAAATTCATAAAAACAGAGAGTGGGCCAGGTGTGTTGGCTCATGCCTGTATTCCCATCCTTTTGGGAGGCAGAGGCGGGCGGATCACGAGGTCAGGAGTTCGAGATCAGCCTGATCAACATGGTAAAACCTTGTCTCTACTAAAAACACCAAAATTATCTGGGCATGGTGGTGTGCACCGTAATCCCAGCTACTCGGGTTCAAGCAATTCACGATTCTCCTGCTTCAGCCTTTCAAGTAGCTGGACTACAGGAATGCACCACCATGCCCAGCTAATTTTTGTATTTTTAGTAGAGACAGGGTTTCACCATGTTGGCCAGGATGGTCTCGATCTCTTGACCTTGTGATCTGCTCGCCTCGGCCTCCCAAAGTGCTGAGAATACAGGTGCAAGCCACTGTGCCCGGCCTATTATTGCTTTAATTGCATGGGTTTTGGAGGTCTTACCTAAAAAATCTGCCCAGACCAATATCCAGTAGCATTTCTCTATTTTTTTCTTAAACCTTTTTTGTAGAGATGGGGTCTAGGGTTTCACTATGTTGTCCAGGCTGGTCTTGAGTCCCAGGCTTCAAGTGATCCTCCTACCTCAGCCTCCTAAACTGCTGGGATTACAGGTATGAGCCCCGACAAGATTTTTCTAAATATTAGATAACATCATCTGCAAACCAGAGTAATCTTACTTCAGTCTTTTCAATTTGGATGCCCTTTATTTCTTTCTCTTGCCTGATTGCTCTGGCTGGGAATTCTAGTACTATGTTAAATAAGAATAGTAAAATTAGGCATACTTGTCTTATTCATCTCAGAAGCAGTGGTTCTGAGTTGGCCAGACATGGTGACTCACGCCTGTAATCCCAGCACTTTGGGAGGCCAGGGTGGGTGGATCACCTGCAGTCTGGAATTTGAGACCACCTGGCCAACATGGTGAAACCCCATCTCTACTAAAAATATACACAAAAAATTAGCTGGGCATGGTGGCAGACACCTATAATCCCAGAAACTTGAGAGGCTGAGGCAGAAGAATCGCTTAAACCTGGGAAGCAGAGGTTGCAGTGAGTCAAGATCGCACCATTGCTCTCCAGCCTGGGTGGCAAGAGCGAGACTCCATCTCAGGAAAAAAAAAAAAAAATAGAAAGAAAGAAAAAGGAAAAAAAATCTTAGTGGAAAGACTTTCAATATTTCCCTGTTCAGTATGATATTAGCCCTGAGTTTGTCATATACGGCCTTTGTCATGTTGAGGTATGTTCCTTCCATACCCAAGTTGTTTTTATCATAAGGAGATGTTGAACTTCAGGCAATGCTTTTTCAGCACCTTTTTTTGACTACGAATCTCACTCTATCACCCAGGCTGGAGTGCTGGACTGGAGTACAATGGTGCGATCTCGGCTCACCGCAACCTGTGCCTTCCAGGTTTAAGCGATTCTCCTGCCTCAGCCTCCTGAGTAGCTGGGATTACAGATGCTCACCATCACACCTGGATAAATTTTTTGTATTTTTGGTACAGACGGGGGTTTCACCATATTGGCCAGGCTGGCCTTAAACTCCTGACCTCAGGTGATCCACTCACTTTGGCCTCCCAAAGTGCTGGGATTATAGGTGTGAGCTACCACGTCCAGCCTTTCAGCACCTTTTCAAATAAAAAAATCTGGTAGAGAGCAGTCACAGCGGGCAGTAGCAGCAGAATGTTGGCTACCAGTGTATTTAGCCTAGTTGGCAAGCGAGCAATTTCCACCTCAGTGTGTGTACAAGCACATGGTAGTGTTGTGAAGAGCGAAGACTATTTGCTCCCAGCTTATAGGGACTGGCGTGACTATCCCTTGCAGGATGTGGCCCATATCAAGCACCTGTCTGCCAGCCAGAAGGCCTTGAAGAAGAAGGAGAAGGCCTCCTGGAGCAGCCTCTCCACGGATGAGAAAGTCAAGCTGTAACTCATTCAGTTCAAGGAGAGCTTTGCTGAGATGAACAGGGGCATGAACGAGTGGAAGACGGTTGTGGGTGCTGCCATGTTCTTCATCGGCTTCATGGCACTCGTTATCATCTGGGAGAAGCTCTATGTGTATGGCCCAATCCTGCACACCTTTGACAAAGAGTGGGTGGCCATGCAGACCAAGAGGATGCTAGACATGAAGGTGAAACCAACCAGGGCTTCACCGCCAAGTGGGACTGTGACAAGAATGAGTGGAAGAAGTGAGATGCTGTCCTGCACCTGAGCCTGGCTCTGTCACCTCCATGTGACTCCATGCCTATGTACTGGAAACCTGTTATGCCAAACAGTACCACTGCTAATAAATGATGAGTTTACCTGAAAACTAAAAAAAAAAGAAAAGAAATTAAAAAATCTAACAATATTCTTCAAGGAACTAGAAAAGCAACAAAAAGCCAAACCCAAAATTAGGAGGAAAGAAATAATAAAGATCAGCATAGTGGTCAAGCGTGGTGGCTCATGCCTGTAATCCCAGCACTTTGGGAGGCCGAGGCGGGCAGGTCACCTGAGGTTGGGAGTTCAAGACCAGCCTGACCAATATGGTGAAACCCAGTCTCTACTAAAAATACAAAAATTAGCTAGGATATGGTGGTGAGTGCTTGTAATCTCAGCTACTCAGGAGGCTGAGGTGGGAGAATCACTCGAACCCAGGAAGCAGAGGCTGCAGTGAGCCGAGATAGTGCCACTGTCCTCCAGCCTGTGCAACAGAGCAAGAGACCCTGTCTCAAAAAAAAAAAAAAAAAAAATTAAGATCAGTGCAGAAAGCTGGGTGTGATGGTTCACGCCTCTAATCTCAGCACTTTGAGAGGCTGAGGCAGGCACATCACTTGAGGTCAGGAGTTTGAAACCAGTTTGGCCAAAATGGTAAAACCCCATCTCTACTAAAAATACCAAAAGTTAGCTGGGCGTGGTGGTGGGTACCTGTAATCCCAGCTACTCAGTAGGCTGAGCAGGAGAATTCCTTGAACCCAGAAGTGGGAGGTTGCAGTGAGCTGAGATGATGCCACTGCACTCCAGCCTGGGCGACAAGAGACTCCATCTCAAAAAATAAATTAAAAAAAATCCTGAGATATTTAATCAGCTTTAGGAAAAAAATAAAAATTAAAATTAAAAAAAAAAATCACTAAATTAAACAATACAAAAGGTCAATAAAACCAAAAGTTGTTTTTTTAAAAAGATAAAATTGACAAATCTCTACAAGAAGAAAAAAAGTTAGGTTACTATTACTAAAAAAGAAAAGAAGAAGAAAAAGAGAGAGAAAACCCAAATAAATAAAATCAGAGAAAAAAATTACATTGATATCAGAGAATACAAAAGATCATTACAAACTACTATGAACAGCTATGTGCCAAGAAATTGGAAAGCCTGGAAGAAATGGATAAATTCTTGGACATATACAATCTACCAAAATCAAACCATAAAGAAATAGAAAACCTGAATACCCTGTTGCTTTGTCATCTGAGAAAAGAAAAAGAATACCAGAACAGACCAATAACGAGTAACAAGATGGAAGCTGTGATAAAATGTCTCCTATCAAAGAAAAGTCCAGGACTTGATGGATTCACTGCTGAATTCTACTAACATTTACAGAAGAATTAATACCAAGTCTATTCAAACTATTTATTTCAAAAAATTGAAGAGGAGAGAATACTTCCAAACTCATTCTATGACGCCAATATTAGCCCGATACCAAAACCAGACAAGGATACAACAATATCCCTCATGAACAAAGATACAAAAATTTTCAAAAAAAATCAGCAAATCAAATTCAACAACACATTGATAAAATGAAAAAGTAAAAGTAAATTTAGAAATACAGATTCTAGCCCCCCAAAAAAATGAAAGAAAGAAATTATTGCCCACCCTTTCTCAGAAAGTTACAGAATAAGGTCTCCATCAAAATGTAAAAGGAAACCAAGAAAGAGGAAGGTGCAGGATTTAGGAAACAGGATCCAACACAGAAGAAAGGTAAATGAAATTCCCGGGATGAGAAGGAGTACAAATCTTGGCAAGGCAGAATTCGTCAGGCCAGAAGACCATCAGTCCAAAGTAGAGAGGATGAAGAGCTCCAGGTGGAATAGCTACAGTGAGTTCTAGATCATAAGAGGTAAAGGAAATATCTTAAATGGAAATATCTAGAATGAAAGCTAAAAAAAGTATAATTATATTCTCTTCCCATACAAAGTATCAGGTTTCATAAAAAGCATCAGGAATTAGAACGGCATTGGACTTCCCCAGTGCAGCAATTGAAGCTAAAACACACTACAGCACACGCATTCAAAATTCATTAAGAATGTGCTCATGTAATGTTTGTGTAAAATATTTCAATTTCCTAATTTAATGGGTGAAATAATGATATATTTGTTTTAATATATATATTTTTTACTTTTATTGAAGTTAAACCTTTCATATTTATTGTAATTCTTTTGTGAAATATTCACTCATTTCACCTATTTTTCTTTGAAGTCAACTTTTAATATATGAACTCTCTTACCATATATGGTAATATTTACCTTTTTTCTTGTTTAAAGTTTTGTTAGTAGGGTGACAAAGCATGACCCTGTTTCCACAAAAAAATTTTTAAAATTAGCTGGGCACAGTGGCATGTGCCTGTAGTTCCAGCTACTTAGGAGGCTGAGGCAAGAGGATCCTTTGAGCCCAGAAGTTCAAAGTTGCAGTGAGCTATGATCATGCCACTGCATTGCAGCCTGGGCAACAGAGTGAGACGCTATCTAAAAAAAAAATTTTTAACAAGTTTAAAAAGTTTTATGTAGGTGCTTACATTTATCCATTTACTTTATGATTTATTTCTCAACTTTTATACTTAGAAGGCCTTTTTCCATTCTGAGGTTATATATATTTCCAACCCCCGCCCCTGCCCGCCAGACGGAGTCTTGCTGTCACCCAGGCTGGACTGCAGTGGCGCCATCTTGGCTCACTGCAACCTCTGCCTCTTGGGTTCAAGCAATTCTCGTGCCTCAGCCTCCAGAGCAGCTGGGACTACAGGCGCATACCACCACACCCGGCTAATTTTTTTTTTTTGAGACCGAGTCTCGTTCTGTCGCCAGGCTGGAGTGCAGTGGTACGATCTCAGCTCACTGCAATCTCTGCCTCCCGGGTTCAAGCGATTCTCTTGCCTCAGCCTCCCAAGTAGCTGGGATTACAGGCATGCGCCATCATGACCAGCTAATTTTTGTATTTTTAGTAGAGATGGGGTTTCACCATATTGGCCAGGATGGTCTCGATCTGTTGACCTCGTGATCCGCCCGACTCGGCCTCCCAAAGTGCTGGGATTACAGGCGTGAGCCACCGCGCTCGGCCGCAGGGGACATTCTAGAGAGGTTCTCGTCGCCCAGCACTTCTCATTTCCCTGCAGTCGTCGCTAACCTAAGGCGCCATCCTGTGACGACTGGATGTGCGCGGCGGTGGTGAGGGGCCTGGAGAACCACCATGTCCACGCTGCCTCGGCCGGGGCGGAATCTGGGAAGGGCTCTGACAACTACTCTTCCTAAGATTTTTCCAACTGTGCTTGGGTGGGCCCCGCATCCTAACGGGCACTGGCTTGTGAAGTGTGCCCCACGCGGGCCGAACGAGCTCCTGAAGCCGCCGCGCCCACCAGGGGGCAGCAGAGATCCGGCGCCCGCGAACCGAGTGACGCTGGAGGGAAGTGGGAGGCTTAGGGTGCGCAGGGAAGGGGCGGGGCGAGCCGCTCAGCACGGAGACGTCAGCACCGCGCCTCCAGCTTCCTTTACGGCCGCTGCAGGCAGCTTTGCGGCTCGTTTTCCCTCGGACTTGATTTACATTTCCTCCTCCGTTCTATTTAATATTCCCCTCCGGCAGTGGTAGTGGTTTCGGACCTTCTTCCCAGGGATCTTCGCACACCCTTCCCATTCTCCTCCGCGCGGCCTCCACCTAAGTTCTCTTCCTATTGTCTATAGCCTCTATTGAGCTCCCTGCGTGCACCGCGCGCTGCCTGAGGCGCGTAAGTGGGGAGGAGAGCGGCTTCCCCCCGGGTGGTTCCGGCTGTGGGTGTGGAGTGTGAGACGGCTATCCTTCCGAGTCGAGCACCTGGGGCTGCGGTGGAGCTGATCCCTGAGGTCTCAGCGTAGAGATGCTGAGTCCAGAGGCCTGTTCTAGTGCAGTGTGGGGCTCAGTATCGGGGCTTCCGGAGAGATGGGTAGGAAGGCTGGGTACAGGAAACTTGCACCAACGTGCCGGGACCCCACCGCGGTGCGGACACGGCTGTCCGTGGTGGCGCCTCCCTGGAGATCCTGCTTGTAGACAGGCGTGGGGAGTCTGCAGTTTGTGGTAATAGCTAAACGGAGTTGAGTTCCAGGGAGCGGGGAAGGCTGGGAATAAATGATCTGAAAGGAATTTGACGCCGGGCGTGGTGGTGGCATGCTCCCATATTCCCGGGAGGTCAATCCTACAGTGAGCCGAGATCTCACCCGTACCACTGCACAGCATCCTCGGCGACCGAGCGAGACGCTGTCTCGGCAAAAAAAAAAAAAAAAAAA